TAGCCACTCTGACTGACGTGAGGTGGTATCTCAGTGTGGTTTTGATTTGTATTTCCCTGATGAGGAGGGATGCTGAGCATCGTTTCATGTGTCTGTTGGCCATCTGGATGTTCTCTTTGGAAAAGTGTCTGTTCATATCTTCTGCCCATTTCTTCACTGGGTTGTTTGTTTTTCGGGCGTGGAGTTTGGTGAGTTCCTTATAGATTCTGGATATTAACCCTTTATCTGATCTGTCATTTGCAACTATCTTTTCCCATTCCGTTGGTTGCCTATTAGTTTTGTGGGTTGTTTCCTTGGCTGTGCAGAAGCTTTTCATCTTGATGAGGTCCCAATCATTTATTTTTTCTCTTGATTCCCTTGCTTTTGGGGATGTGTCAAGTAAGAAGTTGCTGCGGTGGAGGTCAAGGAGGTTGTTTCCTGCTTTCTCCTCTAGGGTGTTGATAGTTTCCTGTCTCACGTTCAGGTCCTTTACTGGATGATCTATTCTATTCCGTTGATCTATACATCTATTTTTGTGTCAGTACCCTACTGGTTTGACCACTACAGTTTTGTTATATACCTTAAAGTCTGAAATTATGATACCACCAGCTTTGCTTCTTATCTTCAAAATTGTTTTGGCTATTCGGGACTGTTGTGGTTCCATACAAATTTTAGGATTACTAGTTGTAGCTCTGTGAAAAAGTGCTGTTAGTATTTTGACAAGAATTGCATTAAATGTGTAGATTGCATTGTGGAGTATAGACATTTTAAAAATATTTCTTCTTTCAATCCATGATCATGGAATGTTTTTCCATTTCTTTGTTTCATCTTCAATTAGTTTCACCAGTTTTAAGGTTTTAGTGTGTAAGTATTTCATTTCTTTGGTTAGGTTTATTCTTAGGTATCTTATCATTTTTTTGTGCCATTGTTAAGGAAACTTTTTAAAATTTATTTATTTTGAGAAAGACAGAGATATAGTGTGCACAGGGGAGGGAGAGAAGGACAATGAAAGAGAGAATCCCAAATAGGCTCCATGCTGTCAGCGCAGGGCTCACTGCAGGGCTTGAACTCACAAGCCATTATATCATGACTTGAGCTGAAACCAAGAGTTGGATGCTTGACCAACTCAGCCACCCAGATGCACCTAGAAAATTGTTTTCTTCACTCTCTGCTAGTTCATTATTGGTGTATAGAAATGCAACAGATTTGTGCACACCAATTTTGTATACTTCAGCTGTAATGAGCTTATTTATTAGTTCTAGAAGTTTTGGGGTGGTTTTTGGATTTTTCTATATATAATATCATACATTGTGCAGTGAAGATTTTCTTCATTCCTCCAAATTCAGGTGTCTTTTATTTTGTTATTGTTGTGTGACTGCCATTTCCAAAACTACCAGAATTATGTGGATAAAAGAAGTGAGAGCGAACATTGTTGTCTTATTCTTGAGCTTCAGTGGCAAAGCTCTCATTTTCTCTTCATTGATACTGGTTTTCACTTTGGAATTTTCATATATGACCTTTACTATGTTATGTTCCCTCTAAACCCTACTTTGGTGAAGGCTTTTAAAATGAGTGGATTTTGTTTTCTGTCAAATGCTTTTCTGCATCTATTGAGATGATAGTATGCTTTTTATCCCTTCTCTCATTGATATGATGTATCATGTTGATTGATTTGTGAATATTGACTAAGACTTGCATATTAGAGTTAAATCCCACTTGATGGTGATGAATGATTTCTTTAATATATTTTTGAATTTGAATTGCAAGTGATTTACTGGAAATTTTTGCATCTATGTATATCAGAAATATGGCCTGTAGCTCTCCTGCTTTTGTGGTGTCTTTCTTTGGTTTTGATAACGGGGTGATACTGGCTTCATAGAATGAATTTGGAAATTTGCCTTCTTTTATTATTTTTTTAAAGGGAGGTGATGGGCATGGAGGAGGACACTTGTTGGGATGAGCACTGGGTGTTATATGGAAACCAACATGACAATAAACTATTAAAAATAAATAAAAATTTGTGAAGACTAAGTATTATCTCTTCTCTCAGTGTTTGCTACAAGTTGCCTATGAGGCCGTCTGGACCAGGATTTTGTTTGTTGGTAGTTTTTTGATTACTGATTCTTTCTTATTGGTGGTAATCATTCTGTCAAAATTTATATTTCTTTATGCTGCAATTTTGGTATATGTTTCTAATAATTTATCAATTTCTTCTATGTTGTCCAGTGTGTTGGTATATACATTTTCATAATAGTCTCTTAAAATTGTTTGTTTTTCTATGATATTGCGTGTTATTTTCCCTCTTTCATTGGTAATTGTGTATATTTAAGTCCTTTCCATTTTTTTGATGAGGATGGCTAGAGAATTATCAATTTTGTTGATATTTTTTATGAGCCAGGTCCTGTTTTCATATATCTGTTCAATTTTTTTCTTAGTTTACATATCATTTATTTCTACTCTAATATTTATTTCCTTTCCTTCTTCTGATTTGGGGTTTTGTTTGTTGTTCTTTAACTAGTTATTTTAGTTGTAAAGTTAGGTTTTTTTCTTTTATTGTTTTAATCAGTTGTGTTTTCTATTTCATTTGTATCCATGTAATTTTAAAATTTTTATTTATTTTATCTAAATTCAAGTCAGTTAACATATAGCATAGTCTTGGCTTCGGGAGCAGAACTCAGTGATTCATCTCTTACACATGACGCCCAGTGCTCATCACAAAAAGTGCCCGCCTTAATGACCATCACTCATTGAACCCATCTGCCCATCCACCTCCCCTCCCAGAACCCTCAGTTTGTTTTCTGTATTTAATAGTCTGTTATGGTTTGCCTCCCTCTGTTTTATCTTATGTTTCCTCCACGTTCCCTATGTTCATCTGTTGAGATTCTCAAATTCCACATATGAGTGAAATCATATGATATCTATCCTTCTCTGACGGGCTTATTTCACTTAGTATAATACCTCCTAGTTCCATCTAAATTGTTTCAAATGGCAAGATTTCATTATTTTTTATTGCCAAGTAGTATTCCATTGTATATACGTACCACACCTTCTTTATCCATTTATGAGCTGACGGATATTTGGGCTCTTTTTAGAATTTGGGTATTGTTGATAGAGCTGCTATAAACATTGGGGTACATATGCCATGTACTTTTTGATTTCTTCTTTGATTTATTGGTTGATTCATTCATCGTTTAGTACCATGTTCTTTAACCACAATGTATATATGTTCTTTCCACAATTTTTCTTGTGGTTGACATCTAATTTCATACCTTTGAGTTTAGAAAAATGCATGTGATGACTTAGAACTTTTTTAATTCGTTGAGACTTCTCTATTCTGGAGAATATTCTGTGTGCACTTGGGGGAAAAGGCATATTCTGCTGTTTTATACTGGAATATTCTGAATAGATCACTTATATTCATTGGGTCCACTGTATCATTCAAAGGCACTGTTTCCTTGTTTATTTTCTTTTTTTCTTTTCTTTTTTTAAATGTTTTATTTATTTCTAGGAGAGAGAGAGAGACAGCGTGAGCAGGGGAGGGTCAGAGAGAGAGGGAGTCACAGACTCTGAAAGAGGCTCCAAGCTCTGAGCTGGCAGTCAGCACAGAGCCCAACGCGGGGCTCGAACCCACGAACCACGAGATCATGACCTAAGTGGAAGTCGGACGCTTAACTGACTAAGCCACCCAGGCGCCCCTCCTTGTTTATTTTCTGCTTAGATGATCTATCCATGTAAATGTGATGTGAAAATTCCCTAGTGTTATTATATTACTATCGATTAGGTATATTATGTTTATTATTAACAGTTCTGTGTATTTTTGTGCTCACATGTTGGGCACATATATATTAACATTTGTTAGATTTTGTTGGATTGTTCCCATTATGATTTTATAGTGTTTTTCTTTGTCTCTTCTTTTTTTAAAATGTTTTTATTTGTGAGAGAGAGACATAGCATGAGTAGGGGAGGGTCGATGTTGCGGACGAAATGACACAAAGACAAGACACACACAAAAGACAGACATAGACACAACTCCGGCTGGAGGAACAATTCTACGCAAGCCCCTCTTGTGGTTTATTTTATACCCCGGTAACTGGATACAAACTGAAATCTACAAGATGCATTCCTTTACCAAATAAGGGCAAGTAGCCAAACACATTTCAAGGACAGGGGGGAGCAAAGGGAGGAAGCGACCACAACATGTTTACTCAGAGGCCTGCTCACAATTCCAGCCTCTTCCTTATTTCTAAGGAGGGCATGTTCCCTCGTGTGCGAGCATTATCATTAACCTTGGATATTATGTGCAGGCCCCTTGGCAGAACATCCTGTTTGAAGGCATGATCTGCCCAGGCAGAGAGTCCCGTGTGCATGTACATCTCTACATCCCTAACCACGCTTTCTTGTGGTCACTGTCGGGCTCCCACATCTCCCCCTTTTTTCTGAGAACCGGTAGCAAACTGTAAGGCTGCGAGAACGCGTTGTCTATCCTTTTTTAGTTGTTGCCTTCTTCGCCAGCACCGGAAGACTAAAATAATAACACAGCATATGAATAAAGTATTCACGAGAACAGTTCCAATTAGGGTAGACACATGCCCAAGAGGATTCAAATTATTTATCCCTTTCTGTAAATCCTTTAACAGATTTGACCCAGTAATGTCAGGTAGCGTTTTGCTAATTTTAGACAAAATTTGCTGCTCTAACTCCATAATTTCCTTAGTTAGGTTTTGATGCACTGTTAATGACCGTTTCACCTTTTCCCAACCTTCACTCATGTCAAAAGGCACAGATGTTATACATCATTGAGAGGAGTTCCAATCACATTTCAATACACTTTTTGTGGATAAGACAGTTAATAGATCCCCAAGCCACGAAACAATATGTTGAAGATTGAGTACATCATTTACAAGTTGTGCATCCAGATCTCGTTGTTGTTGCCATAATAAATGAGATTCTTTATGCCATTCCCGTACAAAGTCTGCTGTTTGAATCCCTTGATGCAAAGCAAGTCCAGCCATGGCAGCGGTTGCAGTAACTGCAGCCACTGCAAAAATCGAAGCTATGATTAGTCCAAGCATGCGTCAGGACCGGTGAAGCAAGGTTTGTATAGCAGTCACCAAATGAGATACAGCAAAAGAGTCCGACCAAGGTCTTGTCAAATTTACAGGTAGCCATACTTCGGTTCGAGTTTTAACAATCACTAATGAAAAATTAGAGTTATTGATTTGTGTTTCATAACTTTTCCACCATGACTGATTTACACATTGTGTTAGATTACAATGATTACATGATATAGATCCCTCTGTGGCATTCCAAGTCCAATTCCCATACATCAATGCAAAGGGGTATTTTAGACAAGCCGTAGCAGAATAGGATTTATTAACATGCAAGTTAACATGAAAGGGACCTGAACTGTCAGTCTTACCCAAAGTATAGTTTCCTGACCATATAGCGAGATTCCCTGAAACTGCCCATAATTTCCAAATATTCCCTTGAAAGTGGGGATACCCTAACAATTGCAACTGAGGGGGAACGAGTGCAAACTGCTGCCATTTTACGGTTTCATTACCATTACGCATTAAAGTACCATTAATTCGATGCCATGTGAAAGTTTTGTTAAACTATTTTTCCAAAATTTGACCATGATCAGGGCTCCAATCTACAATAACAAATCCAGAAAAATTCATGACCTTAAAGGGCCGATGACCTCGGCATCTTTCCCATTCCAAAGATTCTAGAGAAGGAATAAAAAAAATTAGAAGGGCATAATGGTATAAAGGTATTAGGATGGTGACTCATTGGCGTCGTAGAGGTGTTGAATCCCCTGGTGGAAACAAGCACAGTAAAGACAGCAGGATGATAATTATTATATGTTACCCCCCAGGTATTATAAGAGTAATGATTATGCTTTCTTGTAGAGAGGCAAAAGGGATGTCCTCCGATGCACAAGGGGAGGCCTTCCACTGCAACAGTAACATTACTTATGTTATATTGATTATTATGATGATACAGATGCTCAATTCTTCCACACGTGGGTGGTGGGAAGAATGCAGTTTCATTGGTGCATACCTGTACTTCAGGTTCACCCCAAGAGACAGCTCTCACAAGAGGAGGATTAGGAACATAAGCCCAATAAGTATACTCTATCGCTTGCGCATACATTACCTGACAGGTAACCACAGCCATCTTCTCCTCTTCTTTCCTTCGAAAATGCAATTCTGCTGCTGATAGATTTTCTTTGCTTCAAATATTCAGAAAATTAAAAGTAAGTAAGGTTTTATTCAAGATGTCTTTTGGTTTCATAAATCTCTCCTGTTCCCCCTTTTTTATGTTTTCAATATACTCACATAAAGTACGATTAGCTTTTCAATGATAGCTTATCCTTGACTATTACAAGGGATGCCAAAAGTATGAATTGCATGATATTGGGATAAAAAATGAGCTAATTTTGCAGATTGGTAGGCGGGTGTATTATCAGTTTTCAATTCATTTGGGACCCCCATAACTGCAAAACAAGATAATAAATGAGTAATAACAGCGTCAGCCTTTTCAGAATGTAATGCAATAGCCCCTTGGAAATGTGTGCATGTATCTATAGTATGATGGACGCATTTTTGTTGTCCAAAGGATGAAATAAAAATTACATCCATTTGCCATACCTGATTTGCTTGCAATCCTCTTATGTTGACACCTGGTGGGGTAAATGGTAAGGTAAAAGGTGCACAAATGGAACAAGAGCGAACAATAAGATTTTTTTAATCCTTTAGAGTTAGTATGTTGCAAACGATGCTCTTGTTTTGCTGCTTCTATAGGATAAAGCAATGCATCAATTATAGTATTTCCGAATGACAAGGGTCCAGGAAGGGCGGAATGTGCACGAATATGGGTAAAGAAAATTAATTCTGAACGCCACAGAAGTGATCGTTGTACCTGATAAAACAATTTGTCAATATCTGTCTTAAGAGTTATAAGCAGTGAAACCTGAGGAAGCTGCAAACAAGAGAGAACAGCATACCGAGAATCTGAAACAATGTTAACAGTGAGTTGAGGAAAGTCTTGCAAAACTAAATAAATAGCCCACAGCTCAGCAGGCTGCACGGAGGAGAATGAATGGGGAAGGACTTTAGAACGTTTAAAAGTCCAATATCCAGCAGTATTTTTATTTGCATCAATAAAAACAGTGGGTCCTTTAACTGGAACATCTGAAATCGGAGATTGAGGTATCATGGGGTTAGTTCGAAGAAAATCAATCAATTTAGATGATGGATAGTGATTAGAAAATGAACCAGGAAATGAAACAAGGGAAATCTGCCAATTTTCATTAAATTGTAAACATAAAGATATCTGAGCATTCGTTAATTGAGTAACAATCTGGTGGAATGATCTGCCCAGTTTTTCTATTTGGAAACAGGAGGGGGAGGGGAAGGCAGAAGAGGCAAGTTGACAGCAGGAGGCAGAGAAAGAGAATTAGCAGTTTTAAATTTTGTGAGCTTAGACAGAGGAGAAGACCTAAAGTTTGTCAGGCAGTCTATATCAGTCTGGAGAAGACAAGGAACTTCCCCGAAACAAAAGGAGTTTTGGCAGCTGCTTGGGAATATTCCTTAAAGTCCCCGTCCCGAGGTAAACCAGCCACAGTTGGCTTCAATTATAGCCATTAATCTGGGAAAAGAATGAGTGAGAAGCCCTCAACATTTACTAGAAAGAGAAACAGAGAACAGGAGAGAGTTAACATCCCCTTCAGTCTAAATTTATTTCAGCCAGACCCAATAAGGTCCCCTTTATGAGGTTTTTCCAGATATTGGTTGGGCACTCTTTTAGTGAGGCAATGTCACAAAGACAGACAAAGGGTTGGGGGTGCCCTCTCTAATGAGACCAGTCAGATGTCAGTTTGGTCGTGTCCCAAAAGAACTTAAGGGATGCTTAGCTGTAGTGGTCTCAGCTTTGGAAACTATTCCGATGCCACCATAGACTGTATGCCGTTTACCACAAAATCGCAGACAGGCACAGTCAGACTCCATAGGCTTTTTGGGACCTTAAGGGTGCCCACCCGTGGAGCCACAGAATCAAACCCAGCAGGCAAGCCAGACCGAATTGCATATTCACATCTATATATATATACTAGAGGTTACTATATTCCCTCTCACAGAAATTCTACAGATAAGACTAACAATGACAATGACAATGACAAACAGGACAAAACAGATACAGAAGTGGCCACGAAATAGGTTTATGAGTTTGCTGAAGGGCCAACCGATGTTTCGGTGTGACCTGGGGGAGGGAAATAGCTGCGTCCAGCTTTTCATTTAATCCCCCAGACAGAAGCACATGTGCATTTAAGGATCCAGATGATAAGTTCATTTACCTCATTTTTTCTTAATAACAAAAATGGGAGTATTCCATGGACTATTGGAAGGCTCGGTATGTCCTTCTTTAAGCTATTGTTCCATAAGTTGTATTGCTGCTATTTTTTTTTTTTTGAGAAGGTCCATTGTTCTACCCAAACAGGAGTATCTGACTTTCAAGTTATTGGGTCAGTAGCAACAGAACAATGGCCAGATTGTGTGCTCGAGCTCTGATACTAATTGCTCTAAGGCCTCGATCTTCATTTTTGGTAATGGCCACTGCTCAACCCATTTAGGAGTATTAATTATCCATTTTAATGGGAGTGCCCGAGAAACTTGAGCAGTGGCCACTAGTTTTCCGACGGAACGGTTACAGAAGCCCCCATGGGAGAGAGAAGATCCCTTCCCCATATATTAATAGGTATTCTAACAATATAAAAAGTGACAAAAGCTGTTTTTCCATTATGGAACTGGCATTGTAAAGGACAAGTACTTTTCCAAACATCTGCAATGGAGCCTAATCCTGTCAGCATTAGAGGACTTTTTTCTTTGTTCCAGTCTCGGGGCCATTGTTGAGCGGAAATGACTGAAACATCTGCCCCTGTGTCTATTAACCCTTCAAAGCTCCTTCCTTGTATGGTTAAGGAAAGAACGGGGCGAGAATCCTTGATAAGCATCTCCCAAAATATATGTTGCCCAATACTACCAAAACCTCCTGACCTTTCATTAGGAAGAGCAAAAAAGGGAAGATAAGTATTTGTGCTATACGTTCTCCAGCCAACAATGAAGTGTAACAGAAATAGAAACCATAATTAAAATCTCTCCAACAAAATCAGAGTCTATAACTCCAGGAATTATGGTTAGGCCTCTTAAAGCTGCGCTGCTGCGGCCCAATATTAAGCCAAAGGTGCCTTTAGGCAATGGGCCAAATATGTTTGTCCTTAATTTATAAATGCCACCTCCCGGAGACAAAAGAACATTTTCAGCAAGAGGCAAATCAGCAGCCGCACTTCCTGAAGTTGCAGAGTGTAAATCTGACACCATTAAAGGTTTGGTTATTCCTCGTGTAGCAGTCATCTCCAAGGGTTGTTGGAAAACAAAGGGGTTACTTGAGGAGTGGGAGGCGCATCCAATTGAGTCCCTTGTATTGTTCTTGGGCCCTGGGGACTGAGGCCCTCTAAGTAGTTTCCCGAATGTGGGTTGCCAATAGGATTGCCGTATTTATCAGTTTTAGAACGACATTCATTGGTCCAATGAAGCCCCTTGCCGCATTGGCGGCAAAGCCCAGGGGGCTTATTTCATTTTGTATATCCTTGTTTTGCCCTCAATTTTCTGCAATCCTTTTTCATATGTCCAGGCTTCCCACAATGGTAACAATT